ATGCGCGCATTGACACGGTGAAGATAAGTTAGCAACCGCCGCAGGCCTATCATTTAGACATCTGAGGAAGTTCGTATAGTTCATAACGCGACGGCTTATGGGCTTTTGGTATGTGAAACTGACAGTGGTACGAGGAAAAGGATGTATAGGAAATAAACGTCTCGCCAAAGTGTCACGAAAGATAGTACGAAGATTGAGATTGATAAATACGTTTTCCGGATAAGGAATAGTGAACTAGGGAACATCATCACGACTTGAACGTGCAAAATTTTTAAACCGGAAAAGTAAGAACCCTTGTAGAATGCAGGCTTTTGCAAATGGCAGTACCTCAGTAGAAACACGTTGACGAAACATCCTAAGAGTTCTGTTGTTGTAACAGTAGAGTTTATTAAGTAGTTGTCGAATTGACTGAGGGGTATCAATATCACAAGCAAGCGCGAAGTCAGTAGCTTCTTGGTTAACTAGTTTATTCCTACGACTGCGTCTACCATGCTTTCGGCGTTTTCGAGGCAGCGGTACTTGGAAGTACGGGCTTTTACCCACAGTGAATGGAAGCAGTCCGTCTGTTATGGTACCGTAAGCCATGATACAATGATTAAGCCCATAAGGATATGCCGTGTTAAGGGCATGTATCCGGAAGTGCTCCCGTTTGAAATAGGCTAGTGGTAGTATTGTCAACACATTCGACAATTTCAATGCCCATGGACTCTAGTCCGTGTCCTGGTAACTGGTAGTGATTGTTAAGGATAGTATTTGTTTTACGAACAACATTGTATCTCTGCTCCCTTGCTCGAGCTTGTGGAGTTCGTTTACTTTGACCCACGTATTGTGTGCCGCAAGCTCTACACGTAATTACGTAAATTATACCAGATGTTTTGCAAGTGAGCAAAACGTCAGGATTGCATAAGGGGACAAAACGGGAGCCGGTGACGGAGGAGTGTACCAGTCCGTCAGAAGAAATCATGCGGCAGCAGATACAATTGCTGCCGCAGGCATGTGTAAAATTGCGAATGTTATTATCAAGTCCAGTAATTCTAGTAATACGACCATATAAATCAACCCGGAAAAGTTGTTTAAATGCGTGACCACCCTGTTGTTCAGCTAAATCATCCGCAGGCAGTCCACCGAATGAAGTAGCAAGTTAACTGTAGCTATTTCTTTTGCTGACTGTTAAGAGGATTGTGCCCGGCCAAAGGCACAAACCTTTCAGGAACCGCGCAGCTGGGCAGGGCTGCTGCCTATCGGGCTACGACTAATACCCAAATTACCCCTCCAGAGCCAGGCGGTGCCAGAATTCCCAGTTTGGCGACCTTTTAACTGGTAAGCAGTGGAGGAACTCCCAAAACTGATAGCGGTCGAGAGGTGGGAAACTCTCTAAAATATGATAAGCATACGTGTGCCAGTGAAATGGTGGGATAAGAAATGAGTGTAACATTCAACTAGCAAATGTGTAGTATCCCACCCAAATGCGCATGTAGTTAAGGTAGAATGAGTACATGTGTAGTAAACAAGTTGACATGTGCTGTGGGATATGTTCAGGAGCGGAAAATTTGCATCTTTTCAAAAAAATCGTTCGCAGTTCGGACCTTAACCGCAATCGTATATGTAAATGAACGTCGATTTTTTGATAAATGACCGCTCGAGCAATACTTCAACTTTTTAGTGAACTGGAAATTTGCATTTTTTCAAAAAATTTGCAATTGTCATTTTTTTCACAAAACGAGCATTTACCGGAAAAACTACCGGACTTCATGCAAAAAACCGGTAATCATGCACCTGATGTACGTGCGGCTCTATAGTGCACCACCCTCATTCCAACTGACGCCCTTCCTCCTGCATGCCGAAGGGGC